AGCCCTTAAGACCTGGCTGTTCCGACAGGCCTGGGGCTAAAGAGCTTTTTGCCCCCCTTCTCGAATGGTATGGTTGTTGTATGTTTTTAAATTTTTGTATTGTTATGTTCCTCTTTTTATCCCCCCGTCTGTACCCCCTTCCCTGACTGAATTGTGAGCCGCCCTGAGTCCCCTTTGGGGAAAAGGGCGGCATATAAATGTAATAAATCCAATCCAATCCAATTACTCAAAAAGGCCACCTCACAGTTCCCCAAAACATGTGAGCCTTGGGGGTTGGAATTATTGCCCTCATGGCCCAGGGCGCCCCAGAACCTGCTGCACATTGCTTCACTTCAGGTGCTGTTCTTTCTGTTGACAAGGCCCCTCTGGGCTACCCAAGGTTGCTCTGCATCAGGGGTCTCCAACCTCGGCAACTTTAAGGCTGGAGCAAAGCTGGCTGTGGAATTCTGGGAGTTGAAGTTCTCCAGGCTTAAAGTTGCCAAGGTTGGAGGCCCCTGTTCTGGTTCACCCATGAGGCATTCTTTCTTGAAGCAGCTTTGGAGAAAGCCCTTTCGCAGCCTCTGCAAAATTCACAAACGAATGTCCCATTCTCGCACCATTTTCTGAGGGTCCGGAGGCCACGCGCCCGATTCTTGCACAGCCACAGTCCTGAACTGCATCCCACACAATATAGATCAAGAGCTGTATCAAGAATCTAAGTTCAGCTACCTAAAATTGCATTCTAAACTATTGAGCGTGGCTTCTACTGGAAGCCTGTAAGGTCTGACAGACTGTATCTTACAATACAGTATCTAGTAGTAGGAAACATAGTTTCCCGGTCCCATCTAACTTTTTTAAAATCTATTTATCAGGTATCTATCCATCTATCATCTTTCTGTCTGTTAATCTGCCAAGCTGTAAAGCATAACACAAGCTTCTCGTAACACTTCTTTGCAATAGTATGTTGGGGCTCACTGGAATAAGCCAGGGAGTGTTAGGGGCACATTTATCTTTGGCAAGTGAGTGTTTTCTGATTGGCCATGTCAGATGGCAGCCATCTTTTTTTTGAAGAGGGAAGTTTTCTACTACCACCTTTTTTCACAAAAGTTTACATCTTTCCCCAGCTCTACAGGCTGCTTCCCTCTGCAACAACATAAGCAAAATTTCATAAAAACTGATTATAGTTTATGGGAAACGATTGTTTATTAAACTTTGCACTGTGCTGTACAAATTTCATAGCTTTATTTCCCAACATTAGTCAAAGCTAGAAATGTTGTCTAAAAACAAATAAACTTTGCAGCATTTAACGTGTTTTATTGTTTGTGCAAGAATGTGAATATCAAAATGTGACCCCCACCCCCATCAATATAGTCTTGATAGAAACCCACATGTGGAAATATTAAACTTAATAGCAAATTTATGGTCAAGGTAAAGGGAACTAATTTTTGGCTGGGTCCTCTTTCAGTTTGGATTTGTGGTACTTCTGTCCAATGCCATACGGTACATGCGCAGCAATAGTGCCCAGCTGCTGTGCTCCTTCAATGTGAAACATCTGATCGTCGAAGAAAATGTGAGGCCTGATTTTTGCCAAGATCGGACCCTTGGGTGCCCCTGCGAGAAAGAGGGCTTCGTCAATCTGCACTCCCCAGCTCCGAAGAGTCTTCAGCACTCTAGCTCCAGAGCTGGCAGCACTCCTGGCTGTCACCAGATAAGTCCTGACTGGCGAGTCCAACCGTTCGTTCTTGAGGTAAAACTTCTTCTGGAGCCTTCCAAGGTCTTCCAGGAAACATTTCAAAGGACCCTAAAGGTGCAAAAACATCACAAATACGTTTAGAATTCTATACCATTTTTTCCTTTGAAGAAAGAGTCAGGATTGTTGATCATTAAGGAGACTTTCAATGCATTGCAAACTTGTTGACTGCCTCGCTTATGTAGATATATCTAGACCACCTTTTTAATTTCAATTGAGGGGCCAATTCCATGAGGACAAAGGCTTCATTAAAAAAAATCCATCCATTAAATAAGGGTGCATAAACTGTCAGAATCCAACACCATCCTGAAGTTAAGATTATTTATCAACAGGAGAGATGGCAATCTGTAGCTACACGTGGCTTTCAGCTCATAATGTTCCCCCAAAAGGCATCATCCAATTTTAGCAGCCAAATGAAAAACTGACAGCAACGTTTTTGTCTTTTTTTATTTTTAAGTCCAATGTCATTATGATTCTGTGTATTTTTAAAAAATTATTACTCATTTTATTTGGTTTTGCCATATTACTTTGCTATAGTAGTCTCTTATAAGATCCTTTGAACTGGTTATAAGTATTTAAAATAAATACATAAATAATGAACAAGCTGCATATCTCCGCCCAATTATTTGCAGTTCTTAAAAGCTTCATAAACATTTTGAGCAAGGAGTTCATACTTAAAATCAAAACACAAATTCCCCAGAAGGAAATTTTCAGAAAAAAAATATTAAAATCAAAATACAAAATGAAAATATAGGCCACAGTATAAGAACAAAAAAATTGCAGAAGGTGGCCAGTCTACCTTTGCCAGAGGTGTATTCTCATGGATCTTCTCATGCTCAAAAAATCTATCCAGGCCATGTTCTTTCACAATGATTTCCGACTCATCAGAAAAAAGAACAGCATCTCCATCGAAGGCTACTCGGAGTTGTTTATCATCATAAGGCACATTCTTGTTTCCAGAAAATAAAGTGGCAGCAGCAATTCCTGCAGAAATATTACAAGAAACAATTCAGGATGCCTTCTACTAAATCTCAAGGCCAGCATTAATGAATATTTCCAAAATGTACAAAATTGTCAGCTAGTTATGTGAGCAAAAAATTGCAAGATCTAATAATTTTCTGCCTTTCTCATAGACAACTAGAATTGCCATTATGAACATGCCCACTTAGACTAAATGGAACCCATTTTTTTTCTTCCGTTCAATTGTGTCAATTTATCGGTGACTGTACAAGTCCCTGCAGTTTTCTTGACAAGGTTTTTCAGAAGAGGTTTGCCACTGCCTCCTTAGGGCTGAGAGAAAGTGATTATTCCAAGATCACCCAGCTGGATTTGTGCTCAAAGTGGGACTGGAACTGACAATCTTGTGTTTAGATTGGTGTCTTAACCACTACACAAGAGTCCAGTACACTTGGAGACAGAAGACACAGCTGCGTTGCCTTCTTATTAAACTTTTCTCAAGTATGTAGGATCAGACCCATATTTTTAAATTCCATTTTTTTAAATTAACAAACTGACCCAATTAAAGGTTTTATTGAAAATGCAAATAATTCATCAAAACTTTGCTTAGTACTCAACCAAAGCAATGAAAACTCAATGCAAACCTGCTTCTATGGCTTCCTGGACTTTTTCAGAGTCAGCAGAAAGATACAGATTGGTAAGGTATCCTTTCAGGTACCCGATGGGACTCTTTCCTCCAGTCATACAAAACCGTTCAATTAGAAGACCTAGATATTAAGAAAAATTCTCAGTCCCAACTCATGCAGAAAAACCACTTACTTGTGGCTCTTATTTATGTAATAGTTGTGCCCCAGTTAAAAACAGTTTGAATCTGCTTTACATTTTGTTAACTTGACATTATATTTATGTGCAATATATCTGAAATCTTTCCAGCTGCAAAATGCTAAAAGAAAACAGCTGAAAAGAACCAGATATTTCTTGTTGAAAGAATACATTTTCAAGCTAGGTTGGAAAAAAATCTCTCTGTGTGTCAGGATTCTACTCAACGTTTCAAGAGAAAAACTATTTTCCTCCAGAGTGATATTTTGCTACTATAATTACCTACTAGTATAATCCAGGGGTAGTAATGCTAGCATAAAAATAAAAAGGGTCACAGACTTAATGTGGAAGAGTACATTTCTAGGTGTAGAAGACTGAGCTGCAACCAGTTGTAGAGCTCCACTTTTAAGAATAGGAATAGGCCACACATAACTGGCCAGCATACCTTCTATGGCTCAGAGTAATTAAGATTAGATATCTGAGCTCCATTTTTGTATTTTGGGCTTGAAAGGCAAAGCAGGTGGCCTAAAACAGAGGTGTTTCCGACCTTTCTAGTCAATGACTGACAGCGGTGGGGGGGGGCATGGTTTCACATGCGCTACCTAAATCCCACACATGTGCAAATTAAGTTTCCAGTACTTACTGGCTGCTTGCACAGCCCAGTTCCCAACAGGCTACAGACTGGAGGTTGTGGACTCATCTCTCCTTACTTTGGGGTATGACCTTTGACATGCTACCTAAACCTGATGAAACTCTTTGGCCAACAACAACTGCAATACAATGATGCACTGCCCTACATTTGCCTTTGGAGATTCTCAGTCATCCAGGTCATGGTTGTCCCAAAGGTGCTCAAGAAACTGAAGAAGCCTCTTAGATGAGAAGCAAAAACGTCTTCAAAGAAAAACCAGAAAGCCCAGTTGCCTCTTGAAAAAAGCACCTTTGGGCCTGTCCTACGTTACACTCAACTCTGTAGTGCCACCAAATCTCCATCTCACAGCTCTGCTTTTCACACAAACGGAACAGCAATTAATGAAACACCCTTCTTTTAGTCTTAGAATTCTATAGGATGCAGAAAGATGAAAGATGTCACAGTAGCCTAGCCTAACGCATAGGGAACCAGACTTCAGACTCACCGTAGTGGTTAATGCTGTTGATAAGTCTCACTCCCACTTGGGCATGATTGTTAGTCATGAGCACAATATCAAACAGCTCTTCATCATCAGGATATAGTTCACGAAGTCGTGCATTTACATGTTCCACCGCCTATGAGGAGCAAGTGGATAAACAGATATATTTGCTCAATTATTTCATCCAGAGGCCTGGGTGGGATATGCCTAGAAGAAGAATGCACTTACCAGTCTAACCTGTCTTATGACTTCACTTTTTGACCTCTCTTCAGGGATCTGTTAGGGCTTGCTGGAGATGTAGTTTAGTTTAGTTTAGTTTAGTTTTGGTTTATTTGTATGC